TCCTCCCCTGACCAGCTTACTGAGCACCTGCAGGCATGTCTGAAACCTGGAGATTCGCCGATGGAAGATGCATCAGTGTTGTCATCCTCTGATGATGTGGGCGAGGCCTCGTTGGTGTCCTCCCCTGAGAAGCAGCAGGGTGATGGGTCGAGCCCTCACATGGTTGAGTCTGGTGTTATATTCCAACAGAATCAAAAGGTGATGAAGAGACTGAAGTCGGAGGTCTGGCATCACTTTTCCCTCGCCCCCATGGACAGTCTGAAGGCGGTGTGCAGACACTGCAGCTGTGTCATCAGTCGAGGAAAGAAGGGTGATGTGGGCACCAGCTGTTTGATGAGACATCTCTACAGGCGCCACCCAGAAGTTGTTGGGAACCAAAAGGGCTTCCTGGGGGCTAGTTTGGCAAACCCTCCATACAACACCTTGGCATCCACAGAAACTTCCTCCAAACTAACTGACCTTCCAGCAGTGGTTACCAAAAGCCGTCCAGTTCTATTTCCCGTTCACAGTAAGAAGACCTCCAAGCTGTGGAATCACTTTTCTGTCTGCTCTGCAGACCCCACTAAAGTCGTGTGCTTGCACTGTGGCCGGATGATAAGCAGGGGCAAGAAGCCAACTAACCTGGGCACCAGCTGTCTTCTGAGGCATTTACAAAGGTTCCACGGCAGCGTGCTGAAGACCGATGTCCCCAAGACCATGCTGCCCTCTCCTCCAGGCGTCAGCGTGCCCCTGAGCGCAGAATTGTCAGGAGCTTCCTCCTTTGACAACACTGATGAGAAGTTTTATGATTCTCATCCAGTTGCCAAAAAGATAACAAGTCTCATAGCTGAAATGATTGCACTTGACCTTCAGCCATATTCTTTTGTTGATAATGTTGGCTTTAACAGGCTGCTCGAATACTTGAAACCTCAGTACTCTTTGCCCTCCCCTTCCTACTTTTCCAGGACAGCTATCCCCGGAATGTACGATAATGTGAAACAGATCATTATGTCACACCTTAAGGAAGCTGAGAGTGGTGTGGTCCACTTCACGTCTGGAATATGGATAAGTAACCAGACCCGGGAGTACCTGACACTCACTGCTCACTGG